AGCTCTTGATTTCTTGGCATTTTTCGTGTCAGCCTTCTGGGAAAATGAGCTGGGGATTTTTTAACAACTTACTTTTGAATTTCACTTCCTCACTAATGATGCGTTAAAGTAGATTGCGTCGGAGAAAAGCAAGCAAGAATGTAAAATATTAGAATAAAATTGACAGTCTCTTGTAGAGAACATATGAGCTTCAACAATGTAAAAATGTCCTCTTGATCGGTGAATCGCAGTTGCGAAAGTGTTTACACCAGCGATCGATCGACCATTACAATGGAGAGAGCTGGAATGGAAAACTGAAAATACAAGCGGAAAAGGAAAAAGTACAAGAATGTCCTGAATAAAATGTCCTTATCCTTTCANAAACTGAAAATACAAGCGGAAAAGGAAAAAGTACAAGAATGTCCTGAATAAAATGTCCTTATCCTTTCAAAACCTGATGTTCAATAGAAGAATGAGCGAAAGGCCAAACGCCCCAAGTTCATGACATTCAATGAAACTGAAGAAATATACCTTATCGTGCTTTTTTTCCCATCCCAAAAATGTAATTCTAGACTTTCAAATACTTGAAAAACTGCATTCAGAAATTACATATGACGATCTTGCTTCTGACTTCATCTCGAAAGGGTGATGCAATACTTTTACTGGACCTGCCAGGGGTTTTTGGCATCGCTTTGCATACTAGGCATGTCCACATGTGCAGAAAGCAGTTGCGAAATACAGATCAAGAGAAAGTAATATGGGTGAAATATTATTTTTGAGCGATCGATTATGGAAGATTGAGCCAATACTTATCGCTCCTCGTTGAAGGCATGAAGAAGCGGAGCGTAATTGCCCCGTTTGTAAAGGGAAATTACCCACCGGGCGCGATGACAATAATGTGGGAATGGTGAGGGCACGACGTGAGAATTTAAGTATCGTATGCTTAGAAACGATTTAAAATCCTATGCAGGTTTGTGCAGAGCCAAGGTTCAGACCGAAATCCAACAACTGTCTTAGTCTATCTTCCCATGTATTAAGTTCATTGCAGAGTATGCGTTTTTGTTTTTATTCTTTTCCGTATTGCTACGAAGGGGTGCCAACGTCAGGAGACGGACCGCCTGCTGAGCACGGAGGAGAATGGAATCTTTCGGGGCCAGGACCCGTTCGGCCACGAACGACGGGAGGACAGTCTGCAAGGGCTCGAGACGACTCACCCGCGGCTCCGACGAGCGGAGGGACGACTGTTCATGCGATGCCCCGAATGCAAGCTGGACATCCTTCTCGAAAAGGGGGGGATGTGTCCTGTGTCCACCTTGAGGTGAGGATTTCTTTTTGGTAATGGCAGATCCACAAAAAAAAAATTGTAAACTGGTTTTTCCTTCCTATCCTGTAAATATAATTTCCCGTCCATGATCCAAATGCATGAGGCATTAACGCTGTCATTTCCTCGTGAGATTTTTCCAAGTGCCAACGTTACACTGAACAAAAACTCAGGGTCAAAAGTCTCGAAAAATGTGTCATTGATCTCCTGGGCGACACGAAATAATGAGTCGTGAGTCTTTCAAGTCTTATATTTGACACATTTTTACCGCAATTTTAGTCAAATTTAAATACGTCCAGCCTCGGACACGTTTCATCAAAAACCAATTTGCAAAAAATGACAGATTAGTACACAGGTTACTACGTACGATACCACAGTATAGAGATACTTATAATGTACAACTCGTACTTCCCTTTTAGTTTTCCCCTTTCACTAATTGAAGGTATACTCTACCCGTTATACTTCTACTGTTCGTGAAACTCCCTTTCTATGCAGTGCTTTTTAACGGAAGGAACGGAAGGGGATAATGCTATGAGTTAAACGTCATTTTCTGTATGCGGATTCCGAAGAAATGTGAATTAATTATTGAGTACAATCGGATGAAGGATATGGAAACAAAAAGGTTAAATTTCACTTTAGAATCAAAGTAAAGTATTAGAAGTGTAATGGACAAGGATAAACAATGATCAACCCCGCAAATCCGTTGCAGGAGCGTTCGTTTCTTTGCATTTGCCAAAAATATGCATAATCTTGGCATTCTAAAAGTGTTTTTTTTTCCTGAAATAAAGGCAACAGACGTTCAACACTTCAATGTCTGTTATTCCTCAATCTGCATAAACATTATCCACAATAACGCACGAGGTCGGGTTTGTTTTTATAATCAGATTTGATTAAAGGGCTTTTAACTTGGGAAACATTTATTTTTCCCAGAAAGAGGAGGCGTAGAGAAGCGGGAGGAGAACCGGATATAATATCCGCAAGCGAAGCAATGGGACTCACCGTAATGAGAGGAAGAAGAGGAGCAAAAAAAACGTCAAAAGAGTATGAGGAGGAGAATAGCAAAGACTCTGAAGATGAAAACTATGAGGGAGAATATGAGGAAGAGGAGCCGGAGGAGAAAGTTCCAGCTCCAGGAGGGAAAAAAGGTGGCAATTCAGCAAAAGAAGAGAAATTAGCAACAAGCACAAATGCAAGAGGAGGAGAAAAAGTTACAAGAGGGAATGCAGGAGCATCTACGACAGGAACTGCAGGAAGAACTACAGGCAGAGGAGAAAGGAAAGCTATTGAAGGAACTACACCAGTCCATGCTCCAGGAAATGCAGGGAAAACTGGGGGAGGTGGAGGAGAGGGAAAAACGGTTCAGGGAACTACACCAGTTCATGCTACAGGAAATGCAGGGAAAACTGGGGGAGGTGGAGGAGAGGGAAAAACGGTTCAGGGAACTACACCAGTTCATGCTACAGGAAATGCAGGGAAAACTGGGGGAGGGGGAGGTGGAGGAGAGGGAAAAACGGTTCAGGGAACTACACCAGTTCATGCTACAGGAAATGCAGGGAAAACTGGGGGAGGTGGAGGTGGAGGAGAGGGAAAAACGGTTCAGGGAACTACACCAGTTCATGCTACAGGAAATGCAGGGAAAACTGGGGGAAGTGGAGGTGGAGGAGAGGGAAAAACGGTTCAGGGAACTACACCAGTCCATGCTCCAGGTAATGTAGGGAAAACTGAGGGAAGTGGAGGAGACGGAAAAACGGTTCAGGGAACTACACCAGTTCATGCTTCAGGAAATGCAGGGAAACTTGGGGGAAGTGAAGGAGGAGCGGGAAAAACGGTTCAGGGAACTACACCAGTGAATGCTACAGGAAATGCAGGGAAAACTGGGGGAGGTGGAGGTGGAGGAGAGGGAAAAACAGTTCAGGGAACTACACCAGTGAATGCTACAGGAAATGCAGGGACAACGAGTGCAGGTGGAGGAGGAGGGGAGGGAAAAGCTGTTCAGGGAATTTCGAGCTCAACGCCAATGCATTTTGTTGAAAATGCAGGAGGAATTGAAGGAGTGTCATTCCTAAACTGGATTGCAATTGGGGAACATGTTGCTGGCGGAAGTTCAGGAAAAGGAGCTGGAGGAAATGTTACTGGAGGTGCAGGGGGTGGTGTTGGAGGACATACTGCTGGAGCAGGTTCAGGAGGAGGATCTGGAGGACATACTGCTGGAGCAGGTTCAGGAGGAGGATCTGGAGGACATACTGCTGGAGCAGGTTCAGGAGGAGGATCNTATCGCTCCTCGTTGAAGGCATGAAGAAGCGGAGCGTAATTGCCCCGTTTGTAAAGGGAAATTACCCACCGGGCGCGATGACAATAATGTGGGAATGGTGAGGGCACGACGTGAGAATTTAAGTATCGTATGCTTAGAAACGATTTAAAATCCTATGCAGGTTTGTGCAGAGCCAAGGTTCAGACTCTTTAGGTTGTTGACAGAATCAGATAGAAGGGTACATAATTCAAGTAACGTCTCATACGCAAAAACAAAAATAAGAAAAGGCATAACGATGCTTCCCCACGGTTGCAGTCCTCTGCCTGGCGGACGAGAGCACGGAGGAGAATGGAATCTTTCGGGGCCAGGACCCGTTCGGCCACGAACGACGGGAGGACAGTCTGCAAGGGCTCGAGACGACTCACCCGCGGCTCCGACGAGCGGAGGGACGACTGTTCATGCGATGCCCCGAATGCAAGCTGGACATCCTTCTCGAAAAGGGGGGGATGTGTCCTGTGTCCACCTTGAGGTGAGGATTTCTTTTTGGTAATGGCAGATCCACAAAAAAAAAATTGTAAACTGGTTTTTCCTTCCTATCCTGTAAATATAATTTCCCGTCCATGATCCAAATGCATGAGGCATTAACGCTGTCATTTCCTCGTGAGATTTTTCCAAGTGCCAACGTTACACTGAACAAAAACTCAGGGTCAAAAGTCTCGAAAAATGTGTCATTGATCTCCTGGGCGACACGAAATAATGAGTCGTGAGTCTTTCAAGTCTTATATTTGACACATTTTTACCGCAATTTTAGTCAAATTTAAATACGTCCAGCCTCGGACACGTTTCATCAAAAACCAATTTGCAAAAAATGACAGATATCATGTGTCCAATGATGCATGCTATGGTGTCATATCTCTATGAATATTACATGTTGAGCATGAAGGGAAAATCAAAAGGGGAAAGTGATTAACTTCCATATGAGATGGGCAATATGAAGATGACAATGTGAAACTCCCTTTCTATGCAGTGCTTTTTAACGGAAGGAACGGAATGGGATAATGCTATGAGTTAAACGTCATTTTCTGTGTGCGGATTCCGAAGAAATGTGAATTAATTATTGAGTACAATCGGATGAAGGATATGGAAACACAAAGGTTAAATTTCACTTTAGAATCAAAATAAAGTATTGGAAGTCTCATGGACGAGGATAAACAATGATCAACCCCGCAAATCCCTTGCAGGAGCATTCGTTTCTTTGCATTTGCCAAAAACATGCCTAATCTTGGTATTGGCATTCTAAAAGTGTTTTCTTTTCCGAAATGAAGGCAAAAGACGTTCAACACTTCAATCTCTGTTATTCCTCAATCTGCATTAAAATTAGCCACAATAACGTAGGGGTTTGGGCTTGTTTCTATAATCAGATTTGATTAAAGGGTTTTTAACTTGAGAAACATTCATTTTTCCCAGAAAGAGGAGGCGTAGAGAAGCGGGAGGAGAACCGGATATAATATCCGCAAGCGAAGCAATGGGACTCAGAGTAGTGAGAGGAAGAAGAGGAGCAAAAAAAACATCAAAAGAGTATGAGGAGGAGAATAGGAAAGACGCTGATGATGAAAACTATGAGGGAGAATATGAGGAAGAGGAGCCGGAGGAGAAAGTTCAAGCTCCAGGAGGGAAAAAAAGTGGCAATTCAGCAAAAGAAGAGAAATTAGCAACAAGCACAAATGCAAGAGGAGGAGAAAAAGTTACAGGAGGGAATGCAGGAGCATCTACGACAGGAACTGCAGGAAGAACTACAGGCAGAGGAGAAAGGAAAGCTGTTGAAGGAACTACACCAGTCCATGCTCCAGGAAATGCAGGGAAAACTGGGGGAGGTGGAGGAGAGGGAAAAACAGTTCAGGGAACTACACCAGTTCATGCTACAGGAAATGCAGGGAAAAGTGGGGGAGGTGGAGGTGGAGCAGAGGGAAAAACGGTTCAGGGAACTACACCAGTTCATGCTACAGGAAATGCAGGGAAAAGTGGGGGAGGTGGAGGTGGAGCAGAGGGAAAAACGGTTCAGGGAACTACACCAGTTCATGCTACAGGAAATGCAGGAAAAACTGGGGGAGGTGGAGGAGAGGGAAAAACGGTTCAGGGAACTACAACAGTGCATGCTTCAGGAAATGCAGGGAAACCTGGGGGAAGTGAAGGAGGAGAGGGAAAAACAGTTCAGGGAACTACACCAGTTCATGCTACAGGAAATGCAGGGAAAAGTGGGAGAGGTGGAGGTGGAGCAGAAGGAAAAACGGTTCAGGGAACTACACCAGTCCATGCTCCAGGTAATGTAGGGAAAACTGAGGGAAGTGGAGGAGACGGAAAAACGGTTCAGGGAACTACAACAGTGCATGCTTCAGGAAATGCAGGGAAAACTGGGGGAAGTGAAGGAGGAGAAGGAAAAACGGTTCAGGGAACTACACCAGTGAATGCTACAGGAAATGCAGGGACAACGAGGGCAGGTGGAGGAGGAGGGGAGGGAAAAGCTGTTCAGGGAACTACACCAATGCATTCTGTTGAAAATGCAGGAGGAATTGAAGGAGTGTCACTCCTAAACTGGATTGCATTCGAATTTGGGGGACATGCTGCTGGCGGAAGTTCAGGAAAAGGAGCTGGAGGAAATGTTACTGGAGGTGCAGGGGGTGGTGTTGGAGGACATACTGCTGGAGCAGGTTCAGGAGGAGGATCTGGAGGACATACTGCTGGAGCAGGTTCAGGAGGAGGATCTGGAGGACATTCGAGTGGAGGTGGCGCTAGAGGGGAGGGTGCTGGAGGAGATGTAGAAGGAAGTAAAGAAACTGGAAAGAAGAAAAGGCGTGGATCTGCCGGAAGAGCGAACCCGGGCTATTTCTTATTCTTGTCCCTTTTTCTTGTTGCAAAATTTCTGTAGCTGTAGTTCCCGTGTTGTTTCCCACCTCGTTACTTGAAGGGCACCCGAGGGCTAGCTTCATTTGTGATTATTGTGGGGGTGCTAAATATTTTTTTTTTCCTGTGCGTAATTCTTTTGTCGTCTAAAACATGTAGAAAACGAACAAACTTCATGATTCTGAATCCTGTACATATTGCCAATCGCACCCATCTCTAACCTCGGAATCCCATGAGCTTCAACACGATGAGAGAACGCCTGATGAATTATCCATTTCCCAGCTGGCACGAAAGCCCCAGTCATCCACGCGAACCAATCCCAAGGCACGACTGCACGTTTCTCCAGGCAGTTCCCATTTTGCTGGATCCCTCTCTCCCCAACTGCTTCTGATCGTGCTTCAATTGTATATATATTGACTCCAGCCAAATCATATAATCATGGCTTTTGGTTTCTTTTGGGTGGCACAAATATGCATCTTATTCATTCATTGCATTTCCGTTGATTTCTCTTGGGATCATGATTCTATACTTTCCTTGAACGATAAATCCGGGTTGTCATGAAAATATATGGAATGAAGTTTCTCTGGCCCACGAAGAGTCCTATCTGCAATTTTTCTGTACGATTCCCCCTCGAAATGCATGCAATTCGTGTCCATGTGTAAAAAATATGTTATTTTGCGCTGAAACTCATTCGTCGACCCGTCTTTGACTCCCACAATGGAAGAAACGAAACCCATTAATTCCGCATGATTCAGATATGAGAAACATTTCCGACGCCAGAACCACCTTTCCCTCAGAAAGGTGGCAAAATAGGTCCAAACAGCTGAAACTCTTCCCAAAGAAATAATCACGATGTCAAATAACAAGGAGTTAAGTGACCAATGAGAAAAATATATTAGTCTTCCCGTTTAAACATTCTACATTTGCACTTAAGGGAAGTGGCATTTCCGACTGCATCCTAAATTTTTAACATTTTAATTTTCACGATTGCAATTTTTTTTGGCAATGTGCATTCTTATCGCGATATACGACATGCAAGGTCTGCTAAAGGAAATGAAGTGATTTTAATCTAAAATAACGTAAAACAGCTTTTTTTTAATCAATACGTTGCATGAACTAAAAATCAGTAGGTCTGAAAGATTTTAAGTTCTCCTTCATAATGGAAAATAATGTCTTTCATTGGTATTGTAAGACAAATATGGAAAAATGAAGGTCAAAAAGCGACATGAAGGAAAGTCAAATGTATTGTTGGGCTAGTTGTCGGTTTTTAGGGAAAAGCATTTTCCACATTAAGGAAACCCAAGTGCGAGAGATGCACAAGGTATACATATGTTATGTATACCTTGTGTATGTATACAAGGTATACCATACACATGTTATGGAGAATGCCTTTTCGTTGCATTTTCACAAGGTGCGGCTTCAGTTGCATTTGCATATGTTGCTCCTTTTGCAATTAATATAATTTGGTAATTACCGATATGTCAGGTTCAGTCATAGGAATATGCTAGCACCGACCATTTGGGGCCAGGTTTCACATATGAGAAAACTGAGAGGAATATATGGGGCTCTTCTTAAATCTCAACAGGTGTCCTTCTTTCTACATTTCATTGCGCAGCTGGTACTGTGCGATTCGATTGACCCCAGCAATAAACATTCTCAATTAAATGAAAAAAAATTTCTGAGGCGAAAAGTCATTTATTCACCGACTAACTTCACTGCAGCGAAGCTGCATGGTGGTAGGTATAGGAATTCTAATTGGGACTGAAGAGCTAAAAACGGCTTATTATAATTAATAATAATTAATGTTATCTTCTTGGTGTACGCTAACCTGGATTTGGGCGTTGAACACTTTTACGTCGTTTTTCCGATTCTGCATTCCCCAGTACAATACGAACGAAACGATGTGTCAGTCCTTTGGGCATCCATTGGACGTCCAGCAATGGAACCTTCAAGGACAACTTCTTATGGTCTTCCATTGGATGTCCTTGGATGGAATCCCCTCCCCGTTGAGGCCTTTCGTCTGACCTGACCTCTAGCAGTTCATTCAAGGAATACGAAGTTCCCATAATATGAGAGAGGCTCATCCCGAAGCTGTGTGTCTCCCGATTGCCAAAATGCCAACAAATTGTTCTGCGTTAGCGTTCATCCTCTACTCGACAATTTCCCACGTACAAGACGGAGGAATTAAGTCTTCTAATTAATTCATTTGTTGAGAGACGTAACAGCTCAAGGAGATTCCTGGCAATTCTTGCACACTGCATGGTGAGAGTGTGGTTCCCCTTGTCAGGTAACTCTGTTCCTTCCCTATATGAATCATGCTGCCCATGGCGACGGGGAAAATGATGTCTTGCTGAAGAGGTAAGGATGGGAAGTGGAGAGATTCGGCTCGATAATAATTCACTTTCCATCCAAATATTACTCTCCTTCTTCCTCCAAGGAACATGAGAGGGCGAGGTTGTCAATTGGCAGAAAATACTCCTTTCCTAAACCATGAATATTCATGAGCATGCAAATTTACGCAACATAGCTACCTGAGGATTACTTTCCCTGCACCCATCAATGGTCATCCAAAAGCTTTCCCAAAGGGAATCTCCAATGGAACCTAAGAGACCAATAGTCCGTCCAATGGACATATCCAAGGATTTTCCTAGGACGAGACATTTAGTCATTCAGGGGATCTCCGAGGATATACATTATATATATTCAATTGTCCATGAGGGTAGGTCCGATGGATTTATTTTGCATGAAAATTGCTACTTGGGTCGACAATATAACAATAACAATTCAACGCTGTTGACTTAAGATAAATTAGGTAAATGAGCTCATTTAGCTGTATTTAGCTCATATTTTGCCTTTTTTAAACGATTCTTCATGAAACATTTGAGAACAGATCAACGACAGGGTGACCAACAGATTATCGCAAAGACTCGAACGGAAAATGTGTTGAGATGGTTCAAAGCCAAATCAGACTCCAAACAATGTTAATCTACAACTAATTTTTCACTGGATTTCACGATTTTAAATTGAGTTCATCGAAGGGAATCATCCGGTTCTGATTTGGAAACTTCCTAGAATGTACAGTATTACAAATCTCATAATTTTACATTACGTTCAAGCTAGTGCCTGATGTTGGGATAAAGAGCAACTTTCCTTCCAATTTTGAAAATAAATTTCCTATATTCCCCAGTTTCAGCTGTGCTCGAGGGAATTTATTCCGCAAATATTGCGTTCATTGGCTGTGTTAAAGGATGGCTTGGAGACGGGGGACTCCACAGCACAGAGTCTACGATTTGATAGGAATCTCTCTGCATTTTTCCCTTCTCTACTTTTTATGCTCTAAACACGTTATGATATCCAGGCCTTACCTTCTCACTTCAGATCTCAAGACACTGCACAGTCGAGGATACTGTTACGAAGACACAGCATAAACAAAAAATATGTTAACCTGGTTAAAGAGTAAGATACTTTTGCAAGATTTCGTTGTTCATGCTTTTTCCCCGACTTTATTTCAGAAATATTTTCATTCTCTAACTAAGGAAGCCCAGATGCCCACGAGAACAAATTTTAAATAATCTATCTCGGCAAACCCATCCACAAAGGGAAGTGAAAGAACTACCCTCAGGGCTGGATAGTGAAGGAACGGGGGAGTTTCATTCATTCGGGAGATCGGTGAGGTAACAAAAGGGAGGGAAAGAGGCAATCGGGTTGCTGCTCTGCCTTTTCGTCCAAATCGGATAAACAGAACAAAAAGGATGAGAAGAGGAAGAATAATAGTAGAATCAGTTATCTCTTTGGCACCTTGGAGAAGCTTAATTACTGGGAGTCCAATCCAAATGCTCGGCAGGAATTGGTGGAGGTGCCCGGGTTGGGTCTATTTGCAAGGAGGCGTTTGACAGGTGGGGTGCGGATGATGCAGACCAAAATGAAAAGTGCATGCCTGGTATTGAGTCGGGGGAGGCAGCACATATGAGGTTAGCTTTTGGAGCATGAGAACTTTTGTTTCTTTCTTTGTTCCGTTTCTCAACGGTAAGCCTGGCGAGGAACCTGCATGTACTCCGATGAAACATTGAGTCGCCTAGCGACAAAAATTACTCATAAGCGAGCGATTGGAAGCGAATGGAACGAATTCAAGCATTCCGTGGGATTCCTCATTCATTTTCAGCTGCAGCTGAGGATCTTTTGCAGCCTTTTCTTCTCCGTGTAGGAAGCAAAGAACTGAATCTTCTTGGTTTCCATCGGTGGCGTGACCATCCGCCCGCACCTGAATCATATTCCGATGAGAGAGGAAGTCTAGATCCACATTCTCCATTCTAGCAATTCATTCTCGTCAATAATTCAATTCAAAAAGTGCGAACTGAAGTCGTGTCCATAATAATTTCTCACTCGGATCATGCAACTGAATCGATCGAGTCGGATAACGATTAAATACGGCGCAGAGGAGGAGAGCGATTCTCATCGACCCGTGGCTGTGGCGGATGCGGATGGAGCGAAGGCGCTCGCCCGGGCCGGGAACCGAAGGCCTCCTCAGTCGCGTGCTCCTTTTACTCGAGTGAAGCGCCTGTCC